AAAACCACAAGTGACTTTGCATTTATAACCTCTTCAAGTCTAGTTGCTACATCAGGACAGTCCAATGATAACAGGTGCGTTTCAAGAAACAATGAGGAATTTCACCAAAGCTACCTATTCATCTCCATTAACTTACTAGCTCTTGTGCGTTAATGCATGGATGACATTTTAAGGCTCAGTGTTCCAAGCTTTGTTACAGCTTGAATTTGCCAGGTGATTTCTTTGAACATCATTCCTTCAGTAGCTAGTTCCCCAAATCTAGTTTTTGTAAAGAGTGTTCAACAGTTTGCCAGTTTTTTCGGGGTGTATTCCAAATGCAACTAGCTTGACATGATGTTGCTGGGGGGAGAAATATGTTCAGCGTAGGCAAGATAATTCTTTTTCTCTGAAAAGAACAACTTCTGTAACTTCTTGATACAACCTAGGATTAATACACATCTGAAATGTAAGAAGCATAAAAGAGCACAGAAAGAATTAAAGCTCTTAACCCTGCATATACTCTCCAGTGACTGCAGAGCCAAGGGCTCCTTGTTCAGTTCTACCTTCTAGGCTTTGACATAAAATGTGAGCACTTCGAGTCATGTCACCCCATGAATCACTTAGCAACAGGCCATAACGACTTATTTTTTTCCCCCTCAGAAATGTGTGCCTCTGGGACACTTTGGTTTCATCTGGCAACAGTCTTATACATGGTAAGTACTGCAGTGAAAATTAAACCTCTACTTCTTATTGACTAGGGAAGTATAGCATGTGTATGCATTTGGGGCAAGGGGAAAAAATTGCACTGGGGAACTGGTCTAAATACGTGTTACACACTAGTGCACCAGAGCTGGTACTGTTTAGTCTCTAGCATGATGTTAATCTGCTCTATATAAAAAAATAAGAAGAAAGAAGGTCATACACAAAGCTGTTTTTCTGACAGTATTAATAAAGTCTCAAATATCTGAATACAGTCCTGAAAAAAATTAACAGCTGACTAATTAAGGCTGCATTATTGAACTCTTATGTGTATGCAGGCTTTCGCTTCCACTGGCACTTAATTAATATATCCAGTATTCTGCTGAAGCACAGGGGAAAAGATAACTGTAGGTAACAGTAGAAGCAACTCCTGTCTACTGTCCTTGTCTTTCAGCACTTGGACTGGATTCTTATAAAGATGTTTGTGCCTATTTGACCAAGTTCAATAATTTCATCTTTATGTAACAAACTAAAGCAAAAATCTATGTTGTGCTATGAAAGAAAAATACATACAAAAACTACATACAAAAACTACATACAAATCCAAATATAATATCCTGGACTTTTAAAAGAGAAAATTCAACCATCATAAACATATACAAACAATTGCAATACTTGAATAAGCAATAGGTACATTCTGAGATTCATATTTTAAAACTAGAAGATTGCACAGAAGTTCAGCCTCATTTTAAAGAAATTGAGGCAGGGCTCCTATGAAAAGTAGGTTAGGAAATTAGAATATAATAATACATATCTATAAGGCAATTAATGTTTACTTTAATTTTTTAGTTCAGCTATAGTATTTTTTAACTCAGGAATTTAATTGAACTTAATGTGGTGAATTTAATATTTTCTCAGTTTTTTAAATTCAGCTATGTGCCTGTATTCTAAAATAAATTAGATTGCATATTATGCTTTCTTGTGCATTAGATCTATATAGCTCTTATGAGAGCAAAAAGCTGTCAGCTGATGAGACGTTACCCATATGAAGGAATGTATCTGTCAAGTTAAAAAATATTCACATAACAATTTATAGAAGAAATGCATTTTAAGATTGAAAGCTACTTACAGTTTCAAATCTATTAAATTCTGACATCCTCCTTCTTCAGCCTTCACTTGTCATGACCATGGTGCCACAGTACTTCAGTATGCACCTAAACATCAACTGCTAATTTCTGGAGGTAGGAAGGGATATATCTGCATCTTTGACATCAGACAGAGGCAAATCCTTTACACCTTCCAAGCACATGAATCAGCTATTAAGGCCCTTGCACTGGATCCTTCTGAGGACTATTTTGTTACAGGCTCAGCAGAAGGTAACATGAAGGTAAGGTATTGGAGGAGCTGAATTGTATAGGAGAGTATTTAGCTTAAGTAGTGTATTGACATATGTTTATCAGCATGCTGTAAACAGCCAGATGATGTGGTAACAAAACAAAAACAAACCCAAACCTATATTTGATATATAGGATGCTCGCCTCATGTTTATTACATAAACTTAAATATACTAATATCCTTCTAAACCAAGCGGGTTTTGTTCTCTGCTAAATAAGATAAAACAGTCTTTCTAAAGTCGTGTGACTAAATTTTAAGTGAATAAAGCAAAGTGCATGATTGTGAAATCTTAGCTTTATCTCTCTCATAAATATTCTGGTTTTGCCTTTGGGTATCTCTCTCTGTAATATAGGGGACGCTCAGTAACTTAAACACTGTGTGAAGTTTCTGTAGCACCAAGTTCTGGTTTTTCCTTTTGATGCTGTAGCCCCAGACAGCTACTGTGAGATGTCATAGTAGTAACAAACAAACAACAACAAACCAGAAATACAGTCCCTGTTTTAATGGGCTTGTTTCCTGAATACTAAAGGAAGGAAATACAAGAACTTGGTAAAGAGAAGGAGAATACAGTTCTTTTCCTTTTAGCTGGACTGCACACTGTTTAATGGGCCACACTTCATGGCCTGGTCTTGGTGAGGGTTCCTGCAACGTAGGACACAACAGAGAGCTCAGATGGCTGTGCTCCCACTTTGCATGCTACTCAGTATGCAGCTTACTCTCCGCAGCATTCCTTAGCAGAAAAGCATTTCCATGTTGCAGCATTTCATGGTGGGGGGAAGCCGGGAGGGGCACTACTGATCAGGTAATACAGGGCAGCTTCACCCTGCCCAGTAATGAGCTGGCCCAGATTAAGGTAGCCTTATGCTGTTTTGCTTTATGCTTCATCAGGAGCCTCTCAGGACTCTCGGACTTGTTGTAACTCTTGCTAATAGACAACAAAAAATATCCTTTATCTTTGTTGAATAGGGTTTAGAACAGCCAGGAATCTGAAACATTAGGGAAAAAATACAAATCCTAATTTTAATCTCCTTTTGTCATTCTTTTGGTACAGGTGTGGAGACTGACTGGCTATAATTTAATTCACTCATTTAAAAATGAACATGCTAAGCAGTCCATTTTCAGAAATATTGGTGCTGGTGTCACCCAGATTGAAACTGTGCAAGGCAATCGTATCTTCTCCTGTGGAGCAGATGGCACGCTGAAAATGAGGGTTCTTCCCAATGCTTTCAATGTACCTCCAGGCATTTTTGACATTCTGTAGTGTTATGTGAGCTAATCCTGGTTTTTACATGTCCCTTTAAGTAGCTAAAAACACAGTGATAAGCACTGTGGAAAGGAAACGTTTCCTTTCAACGCAGTTACTGCAGCATTAAATATTATGGGGAAAAAGATTTAAAAAAAAAAAGAAGCAACTTTCACAACAGGTATATTTTGAGTATGCCCATAAGGATCACTGGGGTGGAAATGCATGTACTGTACTGTAAAAGCAAAGAATTAAACCCAGCACAGTCAGTCGTAGGTGGGGTTATTGTTCAGTAACCCACAAGCTGCATTTAGTAAGTGTGTTGTAAAGACTCTGACAACTGTCAGTCACTTAACAAGCACTGTGGCTCTACAAATCAGTCAGCATTTCTGATGTGATTCTGATTATTTTTATTACAATTTTTCCCACTAATTGAAGCATGTGTACAACTTCCCATTGTAAAATAGTTTAGTTTTAGTTAAGGGTACTCAGTGTATTTGATTTTCACAAGGAAGTATAATGGATGCAAATGCCATGGAACATGTGCAATCAAGAACGTACTGTGAGAAATGTATCATTTTATGCCGAGATTTTTTTCCCAGTTATTATTAATACACAGTTGATAATGTAACTTGCACATCAACACATTTTTAAATGCAATTATTTTTAATTTGCACACTATTTTCCTTTCTTTCTGACAGCTATGTTTTCTATTGGACACCTGCCTTTACTTTAGGAATGTATTGTAAGCACTAAACGTTTGTAGTGAAGACATCTATGATTCTAGTCAGCTTTTAGTTTTGAAATTTGTTTGTCCAGAAAATACTTCATTAAATGAAGCTGTTAAGAAAATACCACTGGAACGTATGATGCCACATTTCAGATGAATGTCAGGCTTTATGTGGCCAGCTAGTAAATAGTGGATAAAACTGGTAATTAAGTTATTACCACAGTATATTGTATAAACTATGCAGAGTTCAATATTGTTTGCTTGTAATATAACTAGCTACTGTTGTCAGATGTATTTTTCTGTTGTAAACAAAAAACATGTTCTTAAGAGACTGGAACGGATGTCTGCATATTTAAATGTTAACAAACTGTCTTATTCTTCCAATGAAAATTTTGATGTCTGTGCTGTATTGTAAAATATACTAGAATAAAAAGCACCTTTCTCCAAAGGTGATTTTAAATTGCAGGCTGTGAAGTATGAGAAGTATGAAAAGAAAGAAGAGTAAATGTCATTGTTTAGTTTTCCCTTTGTAAGTTAAATAAATTACTTTTATTTCATGGAACAGTCCATTCCAGACCTCTTCCTTATATTTAAATAGGTTTAACTAAACCTCCAGTAAATTGACTGGATAGAACCTGAGCTAGCTTTAACTTGACCTCAGACTGTACTGAGATAAAAGGATTAACTGTTTGCATTTTATTTTCAGCTGTCTAAGAAAAGCATAAGGTTAACAGAATTGAGTTCTTCATCTCCAACAAAGGCAGATGCAAGAAACACAGCCTGGTTCTGTCACTGAGAAAAGAGGCCGTGTTTGCTGGCCCTTCTTCTCCAAGAGGTTGATCTGAGTGGTTCAGCAATGACATTCAGAATTTAACATGATTCAGGATAGGCATATTATCTAGAAACTGTCACCTCTGGCCTCAAACTGTATTTGCCCAAGTATACTGACGAAGCTTTTTTTTTTTTTTTGGCCAAGAAGTTTCCTTTATTAGCACCATAATTCAATTTTTTAAAAAACAACAAAACAAACAAATGAAAAAAAAAACACAAAACAAACAAACAAAAAAAACCCACAAAAGTCAAAAGAAGCCCACATGTGCACAACTAGCACTGGACTGTGAAGTTTTGCACTCTTTATTTACAGGCAGAACTCTAGTTCAAAGTATTAATTATGCTTTTTGGTTTCCCTCTGCATGCCTCTCCTTATCATGCAAGGCCTGCATCCTGGCCTCGGTGAAATCAGCAAGTACGCTGAGCAGAGAGGATGCAGCCCCAGCCCAGCCCTGACTGTATCACACACTGAAGTTCAGCTGCAGCAGAGGTGGTGTTCCTGCACATTTGCTAGACAAGGGTCTGCAGGGCACAGGTGTCCCCAAATCCATTAATCCCTTTGATGGTGCCTGGATGTCACACAGGCATTAAACAGCTCAGTGCAGTTCAGGGTTTAAGCAATACTTTGCTTCTAAATATTTAGCTGAGCTCTGTGAACTTTACCAATATACACAGGCATCTTAGAAATTAGGTAGGATTTTTCTGAGAGCATGATTTTGAATATAGATACAAAAAGAAACAGTAGGGATTTATATTTCAATTTTCTGAAATACCAGACCAAAGTTAATATCAAAAAGCTCCTATTATGTCTCACCTCTAGCTCTCAAACATTTGAAGGTGAATGGGAAATCTGAATTAAGATTAACACCAAATTAAGTCACTAAGCACTCTGATAAACACATGTTTTCCTGCTCTACGTATTTTATTTTTCTAAGAATACCAGCAAAAAAGTATACCCTTCATTTTATGATTTTGTTTGTATGGATGAATGTGGGGAAAAGTTTTTTTAGAGCTACACCTTACTATAATTAAGTATAGTTATGAGCACGTTATAGTGGTATAGTTTACATGGCAGTGAGGGGCAAGGAAGAGTCTGCAGCAACACGAGCAACTCAAACACTGTTAAAAAGGGAATTTTAATCATAAATTTTACATCTTCAATTTTATACCTTATCACTTGTCTTCCCACACTCCATTCACTAAACACAATTTCACGTATAGTCAAGAATGCCATTATTCCCATTTTCCTTGTACTTGGTCTGGATTTTGCTTCTGATTATGTAAAAATTCATTGGACTTGTCAAATTTGAAGTTTTCCGCTTCTTTTCTAGTTAAACATCTATTTCCATCCCCATTATTTTTAACAGCTATATATCTTTGTCCAAAAAAAAGTGTTCACAGAGAATCAGTGGAAAGTATTAAGCAAAAGTGACAAAGGTATTTGTATACAGAAGTTCATTATTTAGACATTTATACTAGACCATAATCACTGACTAGAAAATGATTTCAGATAAGATGATTGCTACTGAAAGTTATAAATAGTCTCTGCTGAGCACATGACCATGGAATAATCAATGTACATTAGATATAATTATCGGCTGAATAACAGGGGAAAAACAAAAGCAAGTCTGTGCTGGCTGTGTTGCAGCTGCAATACTGAACAACTATTCATTTAAAAAGATGAGAATGGCCTATATAACTGAAGTGTGGTTATGCACAATCACAAACCACCATCAGTGAACAGCAAATTATACCAAGTGAAGCGACCCCCTTGTGTACATCATATAGCTTTAAATAATCTATTTAGTCAAACGTGGCTCCCATACATGACATTTTAAAACATATTCATCTGCCAAAATGTACAGGGTATACCATCAAGCTCCCATTCTCCCACGTATACAAATTCTTATCTCTTAGACTGTATGAAAGCATAGCAAGAACAGACTGTGAAGACCGTAACTCAAACCTTGTATCAATCTGCTTCTCTTTCAATAAGTCAAAAGCAAAACTTACTGTCATATCCTTGGTGTCAGTAACATACATAATGCCACATGCTATGAATGCGTTACCAGCCTTGGACTTAGGATATGTAGTATTGATATGACGAATGACTGAAAATGTTTCTTCATCAATATGTGCTACTATTATATTTTCGTCAGTGCTTGAGGCATATATAATCCAAAGACCCTTCTCATCCACTGCTATGTTGAAATACGTCTTCGAGTTAGAAAAGAGGTAGTTACGGCCATGATATAAGGCATTTTCAATTAGCAGTGTGCCCAGTGATGATTTATCAAGCCCAAGTCTGAAATGAGATAAAGTAAATATTTGGTATGTTGCGTTAAAAATCCATTTTTTTACACACTGCTTTGTTGAATCAATTCAGAGTGCATTATTACTGATAGAAGCATTGTTGAAACTACTTCAGTTCAAGGAGCATTCTGATGTCTTTCAAGATGAAATACTCCACTCAAAGTAACTTCCAAAACACTAGGAGAAAATTCCAGTGTAATAACCAATCTAAAAGGTGCACAAGAGCATGAACTTGCATTGGTAGGTTTCACTTTATTTAGTCTATGAGCTTTATTATCACTAGGATGAAAGAAGCAACTAAAAGGAATGGGTATGAAAAAGAGTTAGATGCCAAGTGAAGGCTCAAACTTGTGAAATGAAATCTGTACAGAAGTTTGCTTTCTACTAGGTGGGAACTAAAGGGAGAAAATGTGATTTACCAAACCAGCATGAATTCTGGGCAGGTTCACCTAGTCTTGAGTTTCTCTTTTGAAAACAGTTCAGATAATGCAGTGATTTGCTCAAGTAAACATCAAAGGAATAAAAATTCTACTTTTGCAGAGCCAAAATTCTGACCTCATGCTGTCCTCCAACAGGACAGCCTGGATGTCTCATCTCTGATGCATAAAATTGTTTTTATTCCTTGAAATTCCTTAATAGGATGATAATCTGGACAGCAGCACCAAGCAGCTAAATGGAGTTCCTCTACTAGTTTAAGAGGGTAATCAGCTACTATCAAGACACATTTGCAGTTTTCATTTAATCACTGAATAATGCAGTGCTTTAGAAAAGGCAGAGAGTATGCTTTATCCTTTTAAGTCATGCCTTCTGTAATAAAGCACATTTTATTGTCTGACTTCTATCTAACTGTATAGCTCCATTCCTCAAATAGAGGAAAAACATTTTCAATAGAGGAATCTGCTACCTTTACAAAAGTTTTCTGAAACAACAGGCTTAATGACAGCAATGTTTCAGATCCAGGAACTTACAACAGAAGGAAAAATACTGGAAGAATTATTTTGCTCTGTAGAAAAGGCATTGATAGCAGATACTGGAAAAGTCAAGAATGACTAACTAGATGATTCCCCTCAGCTTTTGTAAAACTCATGTCTGCAGCAACTCCATATTCCAGCACCATGTATGTGCTATAAAAAAAAAAAAAGGCTTCAAGGCTGGAGAATATTTCTGAGAAATGTGTGTTGTCAACCCAGCTAATCTTGTTAGTTGCTTCATGTTTGAAAATAACCTCGGGCAAGTACTAGAAGGACAGCCCTTAGCAGGAATAGTCACATAGAAATGCAGATTTCTTTGGGTTTTTTTTTTTCTATAAAGAGCCAACAAGATAAAAAGCTTCTCAAGATTCATTAGAAATGTGTGAGATCTGCAGCAGAAAACACCCTCTCCTTTCCTTTTAGATGAAAATCCTGAAAGGAAAAGTGAGGTTTAATTCCTGAGGTTCTCTTCTGCTCCCACAGTCAAGGACAGTCTAGCCTAGAACTCCAAATGGTTCAGAAATTCCTTAATCTTCTGGCACCTTGGAATAAACGACAAGATATACTATAGTGATTTCATCAACCGCAGGAACCTCAAGCTACACTTTCCTGATCACTAAGATGAATGAAATCAAATAGAAGTAACAGAGGTGGGAGAGCATGTTCTGCAACAAAGGAAGAAATGATGAAGTAACCATAACATCAGGGATCTGACCATCACAACAAAACCCGCCAAAGGCCAGACAAACCTAGTTTTACCAGTTTTTAAATACAACAGGGGACTCCTTTCAAACATTTTTTCTACAATTGCAAAATGAACCAACCGGATCCTCACCTGTTCTTTTTATTAAATCAATACAAAAACTCCCAAAACCTTTTCTGCAGCCCAAAAGCAAGGGCCTCACTGTCACAGAATTCATAGTGCCTCATTCTATCTGTGCTGAAGGTAAATAATCTTAGAGTGCATAACTGAACAGAAAAGCCATCTCTCAGCAACTGATAGAGAAGTTTTGAAAATTCCACCAATAGCTTGTGTTTGTCTGTATGTGAAGGCATTTCCCAATTAACGGTACCCAAACAAAGGCGAGGAACTCTGTCCTATCACTGTGTACTGCTTAAACAAAGATGGTCTTTTACAGATGTATAAACAAAAAGCCCTAAAGATATTTAAAGGAGGTTGCCGAAAAGTGGGCTTTTCTTTGGCAGAATGAATATTATAAAATCCAAGCAGCTTGTTCACATTCCTTGGCATCCAAATGAATATAGGAAGGCGGCACTCACACCTGCTTGGGAATAGACATCAAAGTATAGTGATGTTCTTGGCTCAAACATCAGAGTCATGTAAGAGAACTTGAAAGCAGATGCAATCTTCCACTTGCCCTTGGACTGTCTTTCTTTGGTTCTTCCCACATGATGAGATTTTGGTTTTGATTTGTATTGTCTGTCTCTGTCCTCACTAGAATCTGAAGAAATAAAGATGTAATTCCTAGTTCCAGTTCAGGGAGATACATTGGGAGAGTTGTAGGAACTACTTCTTACAAGGAAATCAAACAGTGGAGCCCTCCTCCACAATGGAATATGCAATTCCCCAGGTCGCCATGTCCTCAGCTGGTGCCTCAGTGCATTCCTCTCTGCTAGCCTCATTAACTCAACCCCTGCCAGCTAAGAACAGCGCTATCTGGGAGCAAAGCATGTGCATCAACCCACTAGGCAGCTCTGGAAAGCCAAGTTCCACAAGTGGGCTACAATCATAAAACCACTCACTCACCTGTGTCCTCCAAGCTGCAGCTGAACCAATTCTTACTCTCATGCAGGTAGATGCACAGCTTATTTTTTTTTTAGATCAAATACTTTTTTCTGACCCCCAAATTCCTTAGTCAGTTCCCATTTCTTTCTCACAATTATGAGCACAGCAAAAAATCCAAGTGCAAGAAGACCCACAACAATGTCAGGTATAATAGAAACCCGCTGGACCCTGGGAGAGCCCAAAGAAAAATCTGTTGTCATCTCTGCACACAGCATCTTGTTCATCTGGAGGCCCAATTGTACTATCATGCAGTAACTACTCAGGTTAACCACTTAGACACAGAGCTGAACAATACTTAAAGAACTGACTCACAGCAGAGTAATGCACCTGGACTACTCTCCCACTTTCTCTCCTCTCACAGCACCTGCACACTGTCCTGGGTTGAGTGAGTGGTGGTGTTTTTTTGGTGGCAGGTGAGAGGGCTATCGGGGCAGCCCCCTGTGAGAAGCTTCTCAAAGCTCCCCCAGCTCCAAGTCAGCTCCATGTCTGTTTGGGAAACAGAGCCAATCGGCTGCGCCTCTGCGATAACGTATTTAAGAAGGGACGTGGTGACGGGCAGTCGGACTTGTGAGGAGGAGTTGCTGCAGTTGCGTGAACACCAAGGTCAGTGGAGGAACGGAGGAAGAAAGGAGGGGGGAGGTGTGCCGGAGCAGAGACCCCCCTGTATCCTGTGGGGAGATGGCAGGGCGCCCCCCCCCCGCCACCCATGAAGATCTACAGTGGAGCAGACATTGATTTATGGCCTGTGGCTTCTGCTTGCATGATCAAGGTTCTGTGCCCAAAGAAGGCCAGGGTCTCATGGGAAAAGGTAGCCTCGCTGCTGTAATTCAGTGCTGGGAGGATTGCAGCATGCGGGGGTGTCCCACACCGGAGCAGCTCGGGAAGGGCTGCAGCCGTGGGAGGGAATCCAGTTGGAGAAAGTTAGTGACCCACGATGGAGCAGTGTGGGGAATGCTGCGGCCCATGGGAGGGACTCATGTTGGAGAAAGTTTATGGAGGACTGTCTCCTGTGAGAGGGGGACCACGATGGAGCAGGAGAAATAAGTTTCGGACACTCCCCTCACCGAAGATGAAGGAAGTGGCAGCACTGACTGCACTCCCCATTCCCTGCCCCTGCGCCACTGGGGGAGGAGGTAGAGATATCAGGAGCAGAACTGAGCCTGGGAAGAAGGGAGGGGCGGGGGGAAGGTATTCTCAAGTTGTGGCAATGCTTCTCACTGTCCTACTCTGTTATGTGTTGTTAGTGTCTGTAATAAATGTATGTTCTATTTTTTCTTCCCCTAACAAGTCTGCCTCTTGCTCATGATCATAAAGGAGAATTTTTCCCCATCCCAGTCCTATCTCGAACCCCAAGCCTGGCTCTCTGTCCCTTCTCATTGCCGGAGGGGAAGGGAGAGAGAGCTGCTGCATTGTGGTTGGCTGCCAACCAGGCCTAAACCACGACACACACACAGGTTGGAAGGCCAGTGGCCCACATTATAGTTACAGATTGGAAAGAATTTCTAGTTCTGTTCTGGAAAGGATTCTGAACCATTATTCCATTCTTCCTATTCTAGATAGGAGCAGAAAGAAACATAAAATGGTACAAGGAAGGTGATCTGCTTATCTGAGCTTCACCTTTCAGTAACCCATTGCTCCTTCTTCCACATCACTTGCCTTAAGCCAACTATGTTTGACTTACTTCAGAATGACATTGGTTCCTCCCTTTTGATAGTACAGGTGATTGTTTTGTACTGCATGACCACATCCATAAAAGAATCCTGTGATGTTAATGATCCTGTAGCTGTCATTCAGCAAGGCATTGGAATTCTCGTATTCTTTTATAGAGTTTCCTAAACAAAGGGGAAAACATGAAAAAATTGACTATCATTTGGTTCATCTAATTTTGAAATCTCTACCCTAAAATTCAATCTCTGCTGAAAGTCATTCTCAATCAGATATCTCACAGGCAACAAATATATTTGTCTTTTCAATAGAGATTCAACTTGCTGGAATGTGACAAAATAATCCAGAGACAAACACCAAAAAAATCTATAGAGGTGGTGTTCAAGGGCCTTCTTCCCACAGACCCGATGGGCACTAATACTGAACACCGTTGGTAAATATACAGAAAACATTTCCTTTTTCCACTTAGTTCCTGGAAATTTTCATGCACTAAATGTAGCTCATGCAGCATGTGGTTCATTTTCATGCCTAGCTAAATGAAAAGGTGAAACTCCTAGCTACAATTTAGGAAAGTAAAGCCATAGGAAACTGTTGAAAGAATAAAAAGGCACGAACAACAGGCATTTAAACTCAGTTAAAACAAAAATAAAATCCTCAAACTTTTAAAAATCTGATGTTGACTCTAAAAATGTCTAAAGATACTGCAGATGTCTATAACCATATCTACAGTCACAAGTATTACACAGGTAATAGGGAAAATATTCTGAAAAAGATCTGGGTAAAAAACCCCATCATACTTGATTAGAAATATTAGTTTAGGCTGAAGGAATTAAGAAAGCAATGTTCATACGACAACTGATTTTAGTTCCATGACTACTACAAGCGTACCTGAAAAATGCATGGTAAGCCAAATCCTTTCATCACTTATATTTGCAGGTTCCCGCATCCAAGTTCCAAATGTTTGCTGTACACTGACAAAGTGAACAGGACTTCCTACAGATGTTATGACACATTCTAGTAGAGAAAAAGAACATGTTCATTATCTGTGACATTAAACCAGTAAGTAACAGTTAGTCACACTCTGTAGCAGGTTACCAGCTTTTTTTGAAGGACCAGGGGCTTTGTCTTCAGCTTTTCCAGCCAGGGTATCATCATTCGGTACAGCACATGTCTCGCCTAGTTGAGAGAGAAAGAGTAAAACATGTCATTTTTCTATACGTGACATGACAGATTTGCACATCAGTGACTCCACTAAAATAAAGGAATGACAGCTGGGATTTTGTTTCATCTGGGGAAAAAAAAAAAAAAAAAAAAAAGTTTAGGTTGGTCTGGTCAAAAAATGAGATAAAAAAGGCTTGCTCTCACTTCTGCCAAGGAAATGAAGTGTTAGGGCAGGTTTGTTTCCTTAAGGTTGCCAGGCTGACAGTCATCTTTGAGGAGTAACTGATTTTGCTCAAGAGATTTAATTCCTTAGCTGTGAATTGCTGAGTAGCTGTTCAGAAAGACAGAGTTGCCCCTTTCCTTAGATAACTTTAGACAACTGAGATAGCTGGCAGCTGGCTGATTTAGTGGTAATTCCAAAAATGCTTTCTTGGGAATGAGTGATGGCTGAACAAAAAAGCTTCATGCCCAAATCTACTTACACCATCAGAGAGGGCCTATTCTGTAGGCAACACTGGAAGTTTTGCTCGTGCTGTTAATGCCCGAGACAGTAATAAAGTACTAACACATACATCGAGCACATAATTCATAAGAATGCAGGTCAGCCATCCATGCCATTAAAGAAGCAATATGGAAGACTGAGGGAAATTATACACTGTATTCCTCACACACATAGAGATGGTTCACACTAGTAACAAACACCTGGAAACATTTTTCCCCACCACTCAACAATTTAGAGTAACTGGTTGGGTTATCCCTTATCATTTACTGTTAAAACAATACCTGAATGAAACTATTTATGGATCTTTTTCTATAAACTCAAATACCTCCTCCTCTGCCTGTAAGATAATGCACCACATTTCAGTTTGCTTAGAATTAATAACCAGAGAACAGTTCTCAGCTCTCTGCTGAAGATATCCTGATTTCACTGTAGCCTTGTTTCCTAATTCCATTCTTAACTTTCATCTCCTTACACATTTCACATTGCTTGACGTGCAAGCTGCAGATTCTTATGGACATGCATTTCTGTTGTTGCTTTCCAATATATTTCTCGGATTTACAGGGCTGTGATGATGTTTAAGCGAGAAAGTAAAAATATGAAATAACTATAAAGTAAAGCTGAAAGGGTTCTGTGACATTCAAGAAAGAAAGGATAGATTATACTGCATTGCTGTTTTCTCCTTTAGGTTATATTTTCTCTTTGTTCTTGCAGAAGGAAAGTACTCCAAGAACAACACGTATTTCTCCCACCCATTTATCTAGGACATTTGGCACTATAACATAGAAAGTTTTTAAGTGATCACAGCGTATCTCCAAAATAAGGCACAAAGTCAGTCCAACCATGGGAAGATGAACGCCTATAGCTAGAATCTAGCAATCCCTCTAGATCCTTTTTCTAGCTTCTGATCTCGGAATACTGTCAAAATATCTTAAAAAAGGAACCCACACAGCAGAAATTATAAGTTGCAATGCACAAGTTAATTTTCTTGGGCTGAGTCTAATAAATACAGTTAATTGAATGAGCAGTTCCCTATACAGTATCTTGAGACTATAGAATAGGCAAGGACCAGATCAGTGTTTGTAGTGAAGCTGAGTGCACTATTTGCATTTGAGAGTATTTGCAATACCCTCTGAGGACTTTCAGCTGCATGGAATAGAAAGCAACTAAAATTAAAAACACAGTTTTTAATCAGAGACCCTTATGTGAAATTTTCACTGCTTTCTTTCCATCAAAAAAAGATAAATATCTTACTGATTGCTATCATAAAATATTCTGGCTGAGAGTTAATGGAGTTTGCAAGATATTAAAACCATTGATTTGGTCTGTCTAGGGAGGGTGGGAAGGATGGAGCAAGGGAGTGTCGAGCAGGGATGTTTTGTTTCTTTTAGAATTAGCTAACAGTACCATTGAGAGAAAATACACCTGAGCTTCCAACTAATTATTCTCTTCTCTTAAAGAAATAAAGTTTTACCTGATTGAAAATTTAATTTAAAGAAACCATTCTTCTATTCTTACGTAATAAGTTAATTACAGTTGTAAATCAGCATGTGTATTCTCTTTTCTTCAAAGGGATATGAATATCTAATTACAAGAGCTGATTTAGTCTTTGAATTTTGGTAATAAGATCTCACAGCCTACTTACTCCTAAAATGTAAATACTAATTGAGGAAGATCTCATCTTTGCAGAGTTATCTGAGTATAACTCGCATTTGCACACTGGGGTTTAAAATCTATCAGAAATCCATTGGATAGTTTATTCTCCAAAGCACTTCAGTCTGTTTCAACACTTGAAAAGAGGCTACCTGAGTAAATGGTCCAATTATATCTTGTACAACAGTTTGTGCATTTCTGAATTTCAAATAGGATGAGATGTCTGTTCCAGCTACCTACCGTCCATTGTAAGGAGGCTTTCTGGGCTCTGTTCTGACACTTCAATACCCAGAATCTCCTGACTGAGGCTCTTACATGCTACTACAATTACATGCTACATTAAAAATAAGAGGCGGAAATAATTGATATATGTTCCACCCAGTATTAAACATTCACCAGTTAACAGTATTTGTAATAATAATAACAAAAGATTTTTCATCTCAACAAACTGTGCAGAATGATGGTGACATTAAAGGGTATCACCCTATTAATGGGGAGACATTGTCATGGTTTAGGTCCAGTAGACAACAAAACACCACACAGCTGCTCATTCAAACATACAAATTGCTCTGCTTGTTTCACGCTTAATAACTGCATGAAGTTCTTGTGCTATTCCCTTTCAGTATGCCTATCAAGAAACTACAGTCCCAATTACAAAAGAAACCCCACTTTACCAAACACTGTCACAGATAACTCAGAAATCTGAAAGATTAGTAACTGAGACATCCTTTGCTACTCTTTTACAGGATCACTCTGACCTCCCTGAAAACAGGCATCTCATTTGGGAGGGAAAATTCATCCCAGCACAGTAAGGGTAGCAACAGTCACTGAAAGCCACAACCATCTCGAATACAATACCATCCAGGGGGAAAGGACAAGGACAGACAGATCCAGTCTGTAGAACCAAAACCAAAAGTTTGCTTCTATTCTCAAACTGGAGTGGGATAAAAATACAATGCTGTTCTTGTACCAGCTTCTCTTTGCTTTCCATAATCAGCTAATACTTTGAACCAAAATTTTCCAGTTATCCCAATACAACAATGTTTGTAGAACCCATGTTTCTGAGCATCCAAAATCAATAGCCACTTTCATCTTCTACTGCAAATTCTGCACTGGTGAAAGAAAAAGGCTCTCCTCTTGCAGTATGTAGCAATGATTTGAAATGCAAGTCTCAAAACCAGATTTCTTTTGAGAGTGAGTTTTCAGGAATGTATGATAACTTTTTTGGTCAAAATTTTCAAAAGTCCAGCAACTCAAGACATGAATCCTGAAATATTTTTAAAACTTGTCTGCTGATTTTCACAAGAAAATGAGTAAGAACATCCTACATTTCCAAGCACTGGCCTTTCCAACTGCACAACTCCCTCTGCCCCCACATGCCTGAACTGGCACCAAAAGACATTAGAAAAATCAAACCCTTGTTTTATACTTCTAATTCAAAATAGAATTGTTTAGAGCATTAGAGAGATCAAAGATCACAGAGATGACATTTTCTTTTCAATGTTGAAAAGAAAGTTGATTACAAAAGTTGCAAATACTTTCACAGAGAGTCTCAATGTCTCTGTTACCCTCTTAGAAACTATTCCCACTCAAACATGCAAAAAGAAATTCAAGCCCACCTGAAAAATACAGTTTAAAATTAAATTTTTCTATGATAAAGATCTGTAAAAATACAGTAAGAAATGTGTTTACTATAGAAGCAGTTTAGAATATTAACATTGTCTTTGGTATCACATTGACACCAACACCTTCTTCCACAAAGTATTTAGCTATCATTAATATATTTAACTCCATATAAACTGCAGGCATGGAAAAATATGCTCAGTACACTGTATCTGTCAATGTATTTACAAAACACACTGTTCAAGACAGCAGAGTACTTCCAACCAGTCACTTGCTAGAGGAGAAGATATATGTCAATTAACTTTCTCTGTATGTGCTCCACACAGCAGAAGCAGCACTGTACTCATTAAAAAACACACATGGGCACACACACATACACACAGATTTTATCTGAGGCACAGTCAATCTATTTGAGAAAAAGCTATTCTAAAACATGAAGAGAAGTTGTGACATGAAACACATGTGATTTTTCAAAATCCACAATATCAAAAATCCATGAGGATTTACTAGTATCCAGCACACCTGAAAATCATGTGTGAGATTTCTCATGGCAAACTCTTAATTACGTCAGCACCCTAATCAGTGACTTAAAAAAAAAAGTGTAGCAGCTGCTACAGTCTATGAACTGGGCAGTTTGGATACTGGCACTTTGGTTCCAGCATTATCTGTTGTGCAAAGGGAATCTATTCTGCCTTTAATTTTTACTTTCTGAATATTAGAATTAGTCATATATCTCACTAACAAAGCTACAGTAAAGGAAGTAAAAAGGACTCATAATCCACCTGTCATTCAGGATACAATAATGATAAATGGCAACAATGGAAAAGAACTCAAGATCACCCTGTTCCAAAACTTACATATTCAAAGGGACACAAAAGTCTCAAAGAATCCTTTTGTATCCCTCCAGCTGTTAAAAGTCTTAGCTAGTTCAAGCTTGCTTCAGATCTGCCAATGACCAGGCAATTTAATTTTGTAGAATATAGTGAAATGTAGCCTGGCCAACAGGTGTTATATTTACATGTAAAATTAAAATTCAGCACTTAAAAGCTAAAAATTTCAACTGCATTTCTTTTACTTTCCAAATACACCCCATCTAACAGAAAATACCACGTGTGAATAGTTTGCCTGAGCATTACCATAGAGCGATTAAAAGACTATTATACTGGAGATAGCTTGCTGCCTTATCCAAATCCTATTTCAACAAAACACCTAAGCACATGCTCAGCTTTAAGTTTGTGCAGTTTCACTGATGCCAGCACAATTAAACACATGCTTCCTGTTTTGTGAGACTTGGAGCCATGGGTTTAATCTTGAACCTGTTTATAATAATAGAAAGAACACTGGAAAGAACTCACCTGTGCATTTGCTGCTGTATATGTTCTCCTGAAGCTGTGCTTTACCTTTACGTTTTCCTGGAGGCCCTGGGGGTCCGGGTGGTCCAGGGGGCCCGGGTGGTCCAGGGTCACCTTTTGCCCCTACATACAAAACAGAGTACAATGTCATTGGCCCTGTAGGCAACAGGCAACCTGCAGAGAATGGTACGTGTCCGTATAATGGACTTTGAGAGATCTCCAAAACAGCCTCTCTCTTCTTAAGAGGTTTCTGAGTACAGAAATATAATGCAATAAACTCATTGGAATGCTGTTTGCTAGAAGGTGAACCATACAGAAATTCACAAGTTGTAGGACATCAGTGCAATTTATCTGTCCGGCTCAGAGGCTCATTAGAGAGTTATAAAGCACTGTTCCCTTTTGCTTACTGTATTTTAAGATCTCAACTTCAGATGCTACAGTGCTATAATTTTATACAGCTTATATTCATGGCTGCTTCATGTATTTCTGAGTGGAAATCTGCCCCTCTTTTTCTAACACAAAAATAAAACTAGACTTCAAGAAAGAGCAAGAGGAAGTCAACTCTCTGGAAGTGTCCTGAGAAAGGTGAAATTCCAAGCAGAAAAATTTTTTTGAAACTTGCATTAAAAAGAGAACATAATCTCCTGGGCAGATCAATACTCAGACTTCACTGTGGGTAACAGTTATGCACATTGGTCCTACTCTTGCAGATCACATTCATGCTTCAGAAAAAGAGTATATTTTTCTGTCAAGTATACTGTTATAAGACAGCTCCTAAGAGAACTTCTTCCTACCTTCTAATATCACATCATTGTTTGCATCCCCCTTTTCACCCTTTGCTCCTCTTGCACCTTTTCCTCCTGGCATACCATCCTTGCCAGGTAAACCCATTTCTCCAGGTTCTCCTTTCTGTCCTTGATCACCTTTTGGTCCTGGCACACCTAGAAATAAAAAGCATTTCAGTACCAAGAACGCCGTTCCAGTATTAAGCATCAATCAGTACATTTTTAAATATAAAACATACTCACTCTAGATGTTTTTTTCACCTGTATTTAAGTGGGTAGCTGTGATTTGCTCTGATTTCAAAACAACATTGTAACCTAATATGAAGGGAAACTGTGTGCAGTCCATTTGGTGCATATAATATGTTCTTTACCTAGTGATCTCTGAGTTTCAAACACAAAATGTATAGACCTGGGCCTCATTAACACTGGCTGGAAAGTCTCTGGGTAAGTAGGAATACTAAGGGAAGATGTGAAGTAATATATTTATTTCACATTTCTAAGCCATTAAAGAAGGCCATTTTCACAGTCCCTCTAGACTTTTTCTTAAAGTAATTACTCACTAACATTACAACACACACTGTACTTTTAACTTTTTCCACTGTTCCAGCAGAGCACAGATGCAGCTATCCAGTAACATTTTCACATGACTAGTATAAATCCCCCTCTACACCTGTTAGAAGCATGATCAGTCCACATACTTTTTGCACTTGATCATTTAGTAAATTAACATATTTAATAAGGTATTGCTTGTTAAATGCACCCTATACTTTCGTGGCAGTTAGTATTTTCTTGTTTTAGGAGAGAGAAACATAACAGTTACACAAACAGAGATACCAGTGTTCTTGCAGCCATAGGTGTCAGATAAATTAATTTGTTAATACTTGAGAGAAAAATGTTTGGTTTTCTACTTATGGTTTTACTAGTTAAATTGATTTTGTGAAATCAGAAACAGAATTAGAGTTTTGGGATGAAATCTATAATGTGTCTTTGGCAAAACTGCCACCTGACTCTCTGAAGACTGGTTCTCACTTTCATTTCCAATTTTAAAAATCTGTTGAGGATACTGAAGCGGGAGACCATATAGTGTCTCAAGATATAGTAGACAATTGTTCCATGTGTACCTGCCAGCAAGCCCTCAGAGCTAGGTGCAAGAGCCAGAATAATAGATGGGCCACAATAAATACCAACCTGCTACCATCAGCCTGTCTACTCATCAACATACCCTTCCTCTTCTCTACCCCCTCTCAGCTTTACCACTCTCATGCCCTTTTGCCTCCTTACCCTCCTCCCGTGCACAGCCCGCTGCCTTCTCACTCTGCCTGGAAGGTGCCAATTATCCACCCGCGCTCGCACGTAGTTCCTGCGCATCGGGTAAGCCCGTGGGTAAACCAATTACTGCTGTACAACTTCCCCGTAGGTCAGAGGCTCCGGGCACAGCAGCTGCCCCCCCGCCCCTCAGCAGCCGAATCTCGTGTGCCAGCCCTTGCCCCGGCCCGTTTCCCCACGTGCCCGTCAGCTGGGCGGCTGACACGCGACAGCACTTCTGCCGCTGGTTTTCTCTGTTCATCGCAGAAACACGTCATGGTGAAATCGGTAAGTTAGGCCAAACGGTTTCCTCAACCAGCAGAGAACATTGCCTGTGGGCTGCGCACAGCCTGCGGGCTGTTCAGCAGAGCTGCTCTATCTGCGTCAGCTGCGTTAAATTAGTGCCTAGAGACCGTGTTGCATTACAAAGTTTATCTGAGACCAAAAAAAAAAAAAACCCAACCTGCTCCAAGAGTTTCCAGCCTAAATAGATTACACAGAATAGAAGAAAAATATAGAAATATACCACTCCTGCCATAGTTATTACGAATCTGGAACCAAAGCTGTGGTAACATTTAACAACTTCTACCCCAAATTCTGGCTTTCTTTTTTTGAGACATCTGAAGTCAAAGGACCGTTATTTTGGCAAGTTGAGGGAATGGAAACATTGTTACAATAACAGCATTTACTAGCAACTTCAGAATACTGAGATCCAATTAAGTGCATTCAATAGCTTTAATTTTCAATATTCTAGAGTGTACATATAACATCTTCCTCACTGTCAAGTAAATCTGAAGTAATCTACTAAAGCTTAGTGTAAAACAGTGAATGTTACAGAATTCTGTAATATGTAATTTCTTTGTAAACATTGAAAACCCTTCTCCCTATACAAAGGTCTAAAAGTAACTACATCTGAATATAACAATAAGAAAAGATTTCTTTTTTAAACAACCATCAAAAAAAAATACCTATTTTTCCTCTTTTTCCATTTATTCCTGGTTCTCCCTTTTGTCCTGGTATACCTGGGACTCCAGCTGATCCGTTGTAGCCAGGCAGTCCATCAAGTCCAGGAGGCCCTGAACAAACCAAAGAGCATAACCGAATTTTCACTGTTAAATGCACTTTATCCTTAAATTTACTATGTTTACATATAGTGTGTTTATATATATATATTCCTTACACATACAAAATCCTGTAATTGCTCATTATGTTCTCCATGCCAATAGAGTATCCTCCTTAAAAAAAAATAAAAATAAATTCCCAAATATCAACAAAAAAATCCACCTCCTAGCCAAACCAAACAATACAAACAAAAACCGGCCACCCACAGCAACCAAACAAATAACTATGGAACCAAACTTAAAGTGCTTTTTTGCCCTAGCCTTAGCATAAGAAAACTGGCTGAAATTAATGCACACATTTTGCATTAGGCCCAGCCTTTTGGATTCCCCTCCAAGGACAAACACAGTGGAACCCATCCTATTTCTGAATTTGGCAGTGACTATAACGTCTTCCACAAGCCACATAAGCTTTAGTGCTGCTTATGATATTGGCCAGACTAATCTAACACAAGAAAAGCATTTACCTCCTCGTCCAGAATACTGTACTGCCAAACCATGGTTGGTTGGTAGAGAAGACTTCACTCCCTCTTCGTCGCATTTGAACCCCCACAAACAAAAAGTACCTGACACTTTCCTGATACAGAGAATAGTTCTAAGCAGACCCACATCTAAAGCAGCACATAAAGCAAGTAATGGTTCCTATAGCCTAGCAACCACATGAGTGAGAACAGAAAGAGAGAATTACATAAGGAAAAAAAGTTATGGGGGAGGTGGGAGGGTGGAATCAGTAACCAACATTTATTTAAAGATAGGTTTTTAGTGTTAAATTATAGTATCAGATTACTCAGGGGAGGGTTTATACATATACTCATCTCCTCAGGTAAACGCTACTTAAACACTCTTAATTCCATCTGGGTTTGATCAAATATGTTTTAACAAATGCGAAACAATTCTATCCTCTCCACTAGAAAAGTATAATGTCTATAACCTCACCCCTCTCAAAAGGGGCACACAGTAACCTAAATACAGAAATTATAAAAGGCAGGCAGTCATTCAACCCTCACTCATTCTAATTAGAAAAGTAATGTTATTCTATAAAAGATACGTTTCTACAATTCAACATTTTATACCCACAACTGTTTCAGTTACCCAAAAATGTTACTGCGATTGTCCAAGTATCTTACCTGGGGGACCTGGGGGGCCTACAACAAGAACAAGTGAAAGAACACAAGAAAGAAGAAATGGTGAGTTTAACCTAGCAAGAAAATAAAAAACAATTCCAAATTGAATTGACTGACATTAGATCAGAACAGTAAAAGGGAATGAAAGCCCCTCAAATTTCAAAATGAACACCTATGGATTTAACTGCTTTGTATTATAAATAGCTACCTGAGCATTAGCAGAAACTAAGATTTACTGAAAGACTATCCTTAAAAGCAATTACCCATACACACACATTTTGCTTTTTGCAAATTTCAGTTGATAAAGATTTGACAAACAACCACCTGTACAATGTAATCTCACTGTCAGGGGCTTAAGTGCCTTTACAAGGCATCAAACAATCATCATATTTCCTTTATCTATGTGTTTTCCAAGATCCTGTTATAGTAGAAGAGTAGCATCTTTACAATACTGAAGAACATCACAGTTAAAAATCCTGTTGAAAATACACAATAAAAATACATGCTCCACTTCTCTGTGTTTTATGAATATTTCATTGCAGGACTCAGACTATTTAATGTGTGTGGGGGGGTGGTGGTGGGGGAAGTATTCCTATTAACCACATCTAAATCATAATCAGCTCCCCACAGAACCCAGTTGGTGTATTAGAAATTGGATTTGCTGCAGTTATTCAGCAAAATGCAATACAATAAAATCTGTCTCACTCTGACTTAGTTCAAGTATAGGGCCTTAATGGAAAGAAAGCATAGCAAGCAAGAGTAAAGCAAGAGTAAACCAGAAAATGTTTCAGTAACAAAATTTATCTTATGTGATCCCCCAGTACACAGTTAAGGAAAAAAAAAAAAAAAAAGAAAAAAAAAAATCAGAAGCAGCACAGAAAAAAACAGGTTAGAATACAAAGAAAGGTGGTAGTTGCAATTAAAGAACCAAATTAGTTCTGTGAACGTTTTTATCCATCCAAAGCACCGTCTTGTTTCAACAAAACTCTCTACAACAGAAAATAACAGTAATTACTAGATTTCCCTAAAGATGACAATTTTCAGCATTAATTAGAAAGCCTTATGAGTAAAGTGAAAATCATTTTACAATACCATTACAGCAATTATCCCTTTTAATCAGGACAGGCAGTAACATCAGCTAGCATCTTTCTGCCAATTTTCCAGTAAATGACCATTTTTTCCACACTACAATGTTACGTCTATTATTGTGTTCAATCACTTCTTCAAGTGAAAAACTGAGGATCTTGAACATCCTTGTATGAGCATAAGATAAATAAGAAAGGTACTTGAAAAGTAGCAAATGTCACAGAAGCCTATTGCAGAGAAAGCCAGTAATACAGACAAAATTTAATAGTGTCAAGAGAGCAAAAAGGTGCAGAAAGCACCAAGTAGCATGAATTCAGAAGTCTGGAGGCCAAAAACCAAACTTTTGGGTTGTCTGTGGTTCATTCTCAGTTGCAATCAGAGCTGATTACAATTTCAAAAGTAGTATTTAACATCTGTGTGTATTACGGTAATTCTCATTTATGTTGAAATCAGTTGAGCCAAATGGACTGTATAGCCATTTGAAAATACAAACCAGATGACGAGTGAAGCATTTTCTTAAACTCATAAAAAAAGTGGCTTACTTCTAATCTTCTCATTTCCAAAGAGAACACATGACTCTGGAATAGACTTCAAAGCTGGACCATAGGCCTTGAATTGGCTAATACCTGACATTCTCTTCACCAAATTGCATAGAAACATCTCACTTCTTCTCTTGTTCCAGCTACCAGCCATGCCAACTCCTCACTGGTAACACGTGAAACCCAACCTCCTGTTCCCGTGGTCCAATGCAGGGGAAGTAGACACGTTGATTGTCAAAGTTCCACTGCTCCACAACAGTTACAACAGTAGAAACAAGTTTCTACACCCTGTATATTCACCCCATATTAGCCTTGAAGTGTGGGAACATGCGCAAAAATACCAAGACTAAATTTCAACTATTATTTTAGATATCCAAGTCAGTAAGATTTGTGTATGAAAATTACATGGGAAAGAAATAGCTTCAGGTAACATCATCTGAGCTTCCTGAATTCCAGCATTTATAGGTATAGGTAATCCCCAAATTAACATCAATTATATTTTTTTCAATAAATAACCCAATTGATATGCAAATTCTGACAGAGTAAATAGCGTAGTTCTTTGACATAGACATTGACTTCAATTTCTTTGAAAACATTGTAAATCTGTATTCCTGAGGGTGACATAGGTGTAATGCTCAAGGCAATAAACGTACCTGTTAGGCACACCCCTTTTGTGCTGTTACACAAATCCACCATCACTCGGACCTAATATTGCAAAGAAAGTAAAGCTGAAAACAGTGCATGCCATAAACGTATCTAGTTTACTTTGTCAACAGAAATAATTCCAAAAACAAAAGATACAACTGTCCACTCTGTGCTTATAAGAATAAACTGTTTAGAACTTCCTTAACATTGTGACACCATCGATCTCTTCAGGCAGCAATTCTCCCATAGGAATCTGTTCAATATACCTCATTTTAAACCTTACTGAAAATATGAAGAAAATGTTGGTCAGAGAACTCCATACATCACCTAGGCATTAAATTTTACACATTACTGGAGAACATGTGTGGTTGTTTATGCATTGACTCTATCAGTCAAAGCTATCAAAAGCCAGCAACAGCCAATAAAAATTATATTCAATTTTATTTTATATTCATATCAAATGATGGATATTTTCCCAGCATAGCATATCCAGCGAGAAAGATAACCTATGTTCCAAGTAAGCGATTTCTTATCTTGGAATAACCAAGATCTGCAGATTTGGAACAGACCTTTGTCCATTCAAAATCCTTCATCCCAGCAATGACAGAATTCACAAAAACCAAGCTGGAAGAGACATTGTTACAGATGCTTTTAATCTAGAGTAGACTAAAATTTATCAATTAAAAAGTAATCCTTATAAAATACACAGGTTTTGGTGGCACAAGTGTTCATGTTATGTGTCCTGCATGCTGAAAGTCAACATTCCAAAATGTTTTGCAACTCATCAAAACATCCAGCAGAAATGAGAATATTATGAACATGAGCACTGGAAGTGACTCAGATCTATGGGAAAGTCTAATGTTTGTAGTCCAAAAAGAAAAATATTGTTATTTCAGGGCTACGCAATATATGATAGTTTATGAAATATTTACCCAAAATTGCACATTTATTCATCTTTGTACAATTACTCTGTTTACAAATAATGTAATGCACTAGTCCCAAAAGACAGACAAGTGCAAGTCAATCTGAAATGCAGACTGATGTTTAATGCTAGCAGGGTTATTTGCCACTGTCAATCCTTATTTTTAAAATTAATGTATCGTTAGCTTCAAGTGACAAATCTGACAGACTCAAATAAAGGACAACTATTTTTATGGCAAGTATTCTTTTGCTGCAAAATCAAACTATATTAGACTACAGACTCCACTTCGACCAGATACATACTGAGAATTTACTGGATTCCAGACTGTACTGGAGCAGCTCTTACATTTAGAAGTTTTAGACTCAATTTAAATTAACAGAGAAGAGCTAACTGGTTTTGAATATCAGAATTTGCTTGTTCTCTTTCACCTCATCCCCCCCTCAAAACCACTTGGCTTCTAGCCTGTAATTTGTAAAATACACATTGTCCATGTGTGCTCTAATTCAAACTACATTTTAATCTAAATGGTTTTGTTGAGGTTGCTGAAGTGATTACAACTTGCTTGAGGGCCCTTCAATTATCTGAGCAGCATCATTTTTACCAATCAGTGCAATTCAGGTGACAATTAAATACCGCAGCACTCGGGGAGTGTGTTATAGCAAATAGCCTACAACAGAACCTCCAGCTTATCTGTGAGAGGTAAGTGCAGGAGTCATCCAATCAGCCAGTATCACCTTCATCACGAAGAAAAGCTACAGATAAAAGTATCTTATTTAAATGCTAAAAGTTTAGTTTTCTCATGAAGAAAGGGTGAAAAAAGAAAACCTAAACTATGAAGCAACTACTCAGATAATTAGATATCCATAAGCCACCACCCTCTTGTACCATCCTAAATCTCACTTTCAAACTTACTGACTTACTGCTCACAAAGTTATTGGTCTGTTCCCCTCATCAGCCTTTCTTCAGCAGCAGATTTGCCAATTTCCTATTTTTATTCTCTTACAAAATAAATATATATATATTTATAAATAAATGAAAGGCCCAGAACAAAAAATACACTCACATTAATAAAGCTAAAATATATTTTTTGATGCCCCAACGGTGGTCACAACGGAGAGATCCTGCTCGAGCAAAACCTCCATTCAGGGCCCACATTCAACACAGGCTGGAACATCGTTCTAAGGCCCACCAGTGTAGTAGGGACCATCTCACTGACTGTAAGGAACTTTGTCTCATGCTACAAAAGTATTCAAGTCTTCGTATTACATTAGTGGGAGTCAGATACAAAAGTGCAGGAGTCAGAAGGGGGGTGCTTGAAAATGTTTCTGAGGACTTTTCTGCCCTTAAGGAAGCGGGTCTGCACATAGTTACACACTCTTCTGAGCAGCCAGAATGAAAAATATTTGATGGAAATTTTGTAAGAACAAAAAGGCACAAAAAACCCCCCAGTTCCTCCCTGCAGGTTACATACATACATTTAAATGAAGCACATTGCATGCAGTGGTAGTCACACTGGTGATTTAAATGGAGGGGCTGCACAAGCGAATAGCCTTGCCACGTGTTGTTAAAATGCACACTGTGTCATTCGGTGCTACTTGGAGAGGGCAATCAAATTCATTTAATCCATACATGCTACCTAATGACAGCAGAGTAGACTATTTAACTGACACTGTCAGAATTATCTAGACATCCAACTGCCACTAACGATTTAAGTCAAGCACCTAATATTAAATGGCATTAACAGTGTTCAATCCCTGTCAGGATCTGCATCTTTTCTCCCATAATTTTATTTGTGGATCCCTTAGACTCAAAGAAGTGATTTGTATCGAATGGAACAAAATGAGCTGTAGCTGCCAAACACAAAGATGATTTCTTCAAAGGAACAGGAAGAAGTTGACTAAATGTTTTGATGAAAAGCTTAGATCCAGCACACAAAAATATTTTACCAGGGCAGCAAATCTTTTAACGTTACCCGATTCGGGGAAAAAAAAAAAATCTAAAGAAAACAGACTTTTTTTCCTTTAGCTATATGTTTATGGAAAGTCACTTAAGTTTTCAAATTCAAAATAACCCTGTTCAGTAACACTAACTTGAAAATTATGGTTCAAAATATAACAATTTGTATTCTACTTTGACCTATAATAACGTTTACTTTTTTTTTTTTTAATTGCCAAATAGGTGAAATGTATATTATTCATGTTATTTTTAAGACCACTTTGAGTACAAAACCATGTGATTTTAAGACTACAGAAAATTAAATGCTACAGCAAGATGCTCAGGATCTAGAGAAAAATGATACTACTTTGGTAAGTGGAATTAAAAACTAGAACCGAATATCCACTATCTTTCAGTTTTGCCTCTCAATAAAAAGACATTCTTTCAACTGCATAAGTCTTGTCCTGGAAATTCTAAACTCAAAGCACAAGGACTTAAAGGGCCTTAGATTAAAATATATATATATATATATATTATTTATTGTAAATTCCCAAGCAACTGCATTATCAAAACTCTGCTACAAACACCTGTGCACTACAATCTCATTGGCACTAAAATTAAAGGAGATGTGATCACTGTAAAATCATCATAGCAATGGTTTATTAACAAAAATGCCAGCAGAATATTACTGAAAAGGTATTTTCTGTAAGTAAATTTTTCAAGCCAGTAATATTAGTTATACCAGGAAGAGCCCAAGTTAGCCTCTCCTGGTTTTTTTGTGGGCCTAGTCCTGCAATCCTTACTGGGACAGAACTTCCACTAAGGTTCCCTCAACAGTAGTGTTCTTCTTGCATTTCTTCTGACTCAGAACTTGAAAGCTTTTCAATCTATTCAAAATTTTTCAAGTATATGACCTGTACAATTTTTCAACTACATGACCTAGTTCCTACCGAGCAATGATAATCTTTTCACTGAAGTGAAAAAAAACTATGCAGTTTTGCCAGAGAAAGGACACACAGTTCTTCTCTTCTGACCCATCAAATTCTACCTTAAATTTAACCCCCACTGAAAGCGCTCCATCAGTTTCCAAGAGGTGGGATGGTAAAGCCATGTCCAGAACCTCAGGCTGAGATGCTGAACAGCAGGAAACTCATAGCGGGTTCTGGCAGTGGTGCGGAGATTTAAAAATCTGAAACCTTGGCAGCTGGAAGGCTGACTTTTTGCTGGAACTAGATGTTTGAAGAATCACTAAATCCACGCTACTAACAAACAGCTTCACTCCGTTTGCCTGCGTAACTCTCGCTGTAAAAGTCTAGGCGTAACCCGTAAGCTACAACGGCCCGTCGGCGCTGAGACCCGAGCGTTCACGGGTGGGAGGAGGCGACCGCTGCTGCCGCTCCAGCACCGTCGCTGGAGGCTCCAGGCAGCCCCTTCCACTCGGGGCAAACCCCGTGGGGGGAGAGCGGCCCGGGCGCGGCCAGCGGGCTCGTCGGGCCGAAGCGGGGACGAGCCCGGGGGCCAAGCACCCAGGGGGGCCGGCACCCAGGGGGGCCAGGCACACAGGGGGGCCGGCACCCAGGGGGGCCAGGCACACAGGGGAGCCGGCGCCGGGCCACCCCCCCACACACACACACCTGGGCACCGGGCTCCTCCCGTGGGCAGGGCCCCGCGGCGGGGGCCGGCCCCCCGCCCCGCCCCGCCCCGCCGTACCGGCACCATGGAGTAGGTCAGCAGCATGAGCATCTCCTCGCTCTCGGCGCGCACGTTTCCGCGGGCGCGCTCCCCGCGGCAGCTCCGCTTGCTGCGGGCGGGTGGCCCCGCGGGGCCGGGGCCGGGGGGAGCCGGCAGGTCCCGCACGGAGCCGGGGGCCGCCCCGGGCCGCGCCGCCTCCAGCTCCCGCAGCGCCGCGCCCAGCTCCCGCCACTGCGCCAGCAGGAAAAGCGTCCCGGCGGCGCTGAGCGCCGAGAGCAGCCCCGCGGCCGCCAGCAGGCCCCGCAGCGCCCGCCCGCCCGCCGCCTCCATCCCCGCCCGCCGCCCGGCCGACCCGCCGGGCCGGCATTTATGCCCCGCCGCCACCCCCGCGCGGGCCGTGGGGCGCAGGGGCGGGGGGGCCGCGGGCCGGGCAGCCCGGCCGCCCCCCCCCTCCCAGCGCAGCCGGGGAAGCCGCCCTTCGTCCTTCCCAGGGCACCGAGAGCCTTTCGCCGCACCCCTGCCCGTAGTCACGGCGCGCTTTTCCACGACTCCAATTGCACACGCCTTTTCCCAGGGATCAAGATTCTCGGCAACTTCATCGCCCAAAGCTGTGATGCAAACAGTAAACGATACTGCGTAGTACAAATCCCTCTCCCACACATATACGGTCATTCTGCGGCTCGTACGAGCACTTCGCTGTTTTAAGAACGTCATCTGTCATTCGCTAATAGCGCTTTACCTGTTGCCTCAGGTGTTCAAGCACAGACTTTTCCTAGATTATTTCTGCCAACCATTCTGTGACACGGGATATCTTTAACATAAACAATTTTGCTCCCAAGTAACTGTAAAATTAGAAAACTAATTACCCAGAATTTCACTGCTGTAAAGAACTGCAGAATTTGACTGAATATGAAGACTTCATGGAGAACATGAAAGTTACTAAACTTGGAACACTTTTTAGAAAAGTTATTTTAAAAGATAACATTTTAATTGCAAAGACAAAGCAGTTGCACTTTTTTTACATTGTTACTACTTCAAAACTAGAGAAATTCACAGCTTTTGAATGCCAAGTTTCCTACAAGAAAGGGTTCTTGATCCTAGCTTTGTCAAAGGGACAGTTCTCTGCAGACCTCTGCAACTGCTCAGGTACAACATTTTGTCTCCCTTCTAAATATGCCACTGACCTGCGATTCATGCTAATCCCACAGTGTACCAAAGGATGAACTATTAGATCCAATCATATTTGAATTTAATACATGCAATTCTACTGCAGTCAGTTAAATACAGTAGAGAAGCCAAGACAGGAAACCAACTCTATCATATAAGTGTTGGTGTCCTCCGGCATCGTACTGGAGACCCTTTTCTTCTCTGTCATGATGGGTTTAGGTGAAGCAGAGTGAAAGTAGAGGGGACAAACACCATTACATCTCGTCCCGTAAAGACAGGCAAGACAGAAGATCGTCTTACATCCAAAAGCATAAGGCTGACCAGCACAGAAGCATAGAATCACAGAACGGTTTGGGTTGGAAGGGACCTTTAAAGGATGTCTAGTCCAACCCCGTACAATGAGCAGCAACATCTTCCCCCAGCCCAGGTTGCCCAAAGCCCCGTCCAACCTGGCCTTGAACCCTGCCAGGGAGGGGGCAGCCACAGCTGCTCTGGGCAACCTGTGCCAGTGCATCACCACCCGCACAGTAAAGAATTTCCTCCTTACATCTAATCTAAATCTACCCTCTTTCACTTTAAACCTGTTATCCCTCATCCTGTCGATGCCCTCCCTGACAAAGAGTCCCTCCCCCCCTTTCCTGTCCACCCTTTAAGCACTGGGAGGCCGCTCGAAAGTCTCCCCAGAGCCTTCTCTTCTCCAGGCTGAACGCCCCCAACTCTCTCAGCCTGGCCTCACAGGGGACTTGCTCCAGTCCCCTGATCATCTTCGTGGCCTCCTCTGGACCCACTCTAACAATGCTAATCTCTTTCTCAAAATTCTGAACAGGTGTCCTGCGTAATCTTAAAAATCTGCTCCTGTCTGTGCTGTAATACAGGATCATGAGGATCTCTTCAGTAGCTCATACATATTGCAGATATATACAAAATGCCTTTTTCACTCTCTACAGCAGACAGATTTTGGGGGAAAAAAAAGCGTCACTGTGTTGTGCAAATACTGCCTGCCTGATGGTCTAGGAACCAGTTACACTATCTCAGATCTGTTCCACTCAACTTCTGCCATATCACTAAGTTTTTCAGCTTTCAATATTTTACAAAACAAGATCAGGAATCTGATGTCTCAAATGGTACTTTCAGAAACCAATACCTCAAATGGTATTTTCAGAAACGATTAAACTATTTAAAACAACGACAACAACAAAAAACAGAACTGCAACTTCATTATCTGATTCTATTTATATTCCCACTACTAGCTTCCAATGAAACATTCACCAAAAAAAAAAATCTCACTGAAGTTTAAATTATTGCTTGAGCTCTTTACCATATTGTTGAAGATAATCTATTTTATGTAAGGCTACTAACATCACACAGATATGCATACCTTTTTGCAGTATGAACAGTCTTAGAATGTGTTCCACTAGTACAATATTGACATTCCAAGGAATAATATCAAAACCAAATACGTAAAAAACCTCCTGAAAAATCACTTCTGAGGCCTTGGGCCTTGGCAGACTATTCTGAGGCTATCAGAATGTTCTACTTATAAGTAAATAGTCTTTCTGATGCCAGTGAAGATTACAAGAATACTTGTTCACTCTGCAGTTGATATCCAAGCTTATCACAGAAGTGCATATTTGAGTTTTGCTTATAGTATTAATCTTGTGAAGGAAAAAAAAAAATAGAAATATGGCATTGCATAGAAATTCCCAGAAGACATTATATCTTAAGCAAGCTTAGTTTATAATTTCATAGATATAATAAAACTAGTAAATATCTATCGTAACAGCAAACTAAAGCTTTCTTTCTGAGAACATAAATAGAACTGCACTCCAGAGACCACAGAGCATAACAAACAGCAATTCTTCATCTTTATTGTCCATTTCAGAGCATAATGATTGAGTAAAAAGAGTATAATAATCATGAGCTACCATTTGGAGAATAACAGAAGCAATATAGCACTCTTGTTTCCCCATCTGTCTAATCTTGCAGGATTTTCTCTGCATTAAAATCAAAAAGAAATTGAACATTGTTCATTTTAAAAATATAGGCCATTGGATCACTGTGAACATCCTATCCAAGGCTGTGGTATGGAACCTGCTTAGTTGGCAGAGCTGCAGGATTTGTCCCTGGGCTGCTAATTGCTCCAAAACTGCTATCTATACCACAGATCATATGGCAGTCTCTGCAGTACTGTGCTTAGTTTTCTAGGACACAAGGAGTTTCACCTCTGTCAAGAAATTGCCCTATTTTTGAAAGTCAGGAATCATTTGACAGCACAGTTTTCTGGCAAGGGGGTTCCTGAGCTTAAACTGCTTAGATAGTCCTATTAGCTACTCCAGTGGCAGAAGCAACAGTCTTACTGGGCTGTGGACATGCCTTTCCCAGCTTTCTACTAAGTCTCTCCCCATACTACGTAACCAGCAATTCATCCAGATGTCTCCATATCCTCTCATCCTCTCGTACTGCCCTATAGTCCTATGTCTCCTTCTAGATCTCTTGTCCCTGTATAACACACCTGAAATTTTGGTCCATTCATACAGCACTTGTCATCAACTGCAATGCAGCCTCATGCTTGATGGCTCTGTTCCTTCTCCATGATGAAAATCAAAGGTCCCAGTGGTAGCCTGGTGATCCGCTTGGGAATGCTGCTGCTAAGTTCTCGAAGCCTTACTCCTACTTCTTTACCAAAAAGAAAAAATATGCTCAGTAGCATTCTAAACTAATGTGAGAAAACTGTTATCCCATACACCCATCAGTCTTGTTTTGTCAGGTAGCAGAATGCCAGCAATTATTTCCTGGCATTTCAGAATTTGTTTCTCTAAAGCATGTCCTCACGCAAATGTGCATCATATCTGACATGCAGTGAAGCATGGCATACAAAGACGATATAAATCTGTCCCAAGTTATATGGGAACTAGAAAGAAACTATCTATATAAATAAGCAAGCTACAGATACGACATCATGTTTATGCTTTTCACAATTCCAGCTTAGCTGTACAGTTGAAATAAATCGTTAGGAGATAAAACATAGCTTTACCACAAGAGGCATTTCTGTATCCAAATTAGACACTATACATATAATAAAGAATATCACTCGATTATTCTGAGTCTGGAAATGTATTCATATGGTGTCACATTTAACTAATGCTCCCACTGATGTTTTACTTTGCAAAAAATGTTATTACTGACATCTCATCTATTTAGGCAGCTGTCCCAGTGTTAAAGCACATTGGAGATTGGCATGTTATTTTCACTTGGATAACTAATGCTGAAAGATGGGCTGAGTTGCTGAGGATGATGCTCTTATAAAATAGATTAACCAAACTTCCTCTGATGATGCCATTAGAAGATTATACAGATTATAATATTTATGAATACTATTAGAAAGAAGGTAATCTCTTTTCTTGAACTATTAAAGTGAAAAAGGGTCTTATAAAGCTTTCATAACCTCCCATGATAACTGACAGATTTTACTGAATCCCCTTCTTCTCAGGAAATATGATAGAGGCTTAATATATTTGGTTTAGGATTCCAAATCAACTCTACTCTCCAAACCTACAAAGCAGAAGATCATTCTTTGGACTCTCAAACTGATGAAGAGGTAATGCTTTTCAGTAAGCTCCTTGTGCTTTCCTTTGCCACTGGTAACCGCTGAAATGCTATGTATACATGTGCAGCATGGCAAGCCACAGAAAGAGCAGTAAATTCCCTCTCCTCATCTCCGTTACCACTGCTCAAACCATGTGGCACACTAGCAGTCAAGCAGCTGCAGAGTTCCTCCATCCAAATCACAGTTGCAATTCAATATTGGCACTGAAGCCAACATTGTTTCTTCAGCAAAGTCTTAGCTTTAAAATGTTAAAAGTCTTCTGACCACATGCAAAAGAAAGGCTTGATTTTGAAATTCAGATTAGGTCCTAGTCTATTCATGTTTGGAAAAAATGGAATACGTAGGTTTGAAATGTCTTTGCAATAACTGTAGGTCAGCCACAATAGCAGACTTACAGCGATTCAGACTACACTAAGCTCCATGATTAACTTCACCCCTCAGAATTACTTCAGGCTTCTATCAGTGACAGACACTAGAATGCAACCCACTCCATTTCTGCACATACATTCCACACAGATTATAGCATATTGGATACACAGGTCTGCTGTTAAAGGGGGGG